AAAAAAAAAAAAAAAAAAAAATCATTTTCCTCCATAACTGAGAATGGAATATTACCTTTTGTGTTTGGGTTTGCCGCTCTTCACCATGGTCGGCTTCTTGGTCGCGAAGAAAAGCATCAATGAGCTCCTTGTAGCCGCAATCCTCTATGAACGCCCACCCTTCCCACCCTTCATCTCCTTCGTATTCCTAAGCCAAAAAATATTTTAGCTAACCCACTTTATTAATAATCCCCAAATGGGCAGAGAATATGAAACGATTTTCATGTTTCAAAGCACCGTTTCCTTTTTCTCAAAAACTAAAACAATAGTAGGCTAACCTTGAGGAGCTTATTCACAGTTTTCCTAACGAGCGATTCATCAAACCCGAAAGGCGTCATAGCATCAACTGCTGCGTCCATTCTACTTAGTCTCTGCCCAATGAAAACCCAAAATAATAATAATGAAAAAACAACAGTAGAAGGAAAACAAACAAGAAAGAAGATACTCCGTACAACTACAAAGGAAAAAAAAAGGGTGTAAAAATCGAACCTTTCTAGGTCTGCCTCTGGGTGCCATTGTTGTTGAGCTTGGAAGGAGTGAAAAAGAGAGCAGAAGAAGAGAAAAAAGGAAAATGCAATAAACAGAAGTTGTTTCTTGTTTCAAACTGAAAATGGCAAAAAGAGAGTGAGGGTTTTGGAAGGAGAGAGCAGAGCAACAGAGAGCGGGAGAGAGTAAACTCCGTATATGGCAAGAACACACATATATGCATGTGTATTGGTCAACTTTTTATACAGAAGAAGATGGGTATGCTGTTCAAATATTGTACGTGGCTTTCTCTTGGGTAACTTTTTGACTGATAGGCTTAGCTCTTTGCCCCATGACTTTCCTAATTTGTGCCCAACATATACTAATAGTACTAGTACACGGCCTTCTTTTTTGCACTGCCACATCCAAATTTTTAATTTTCAATAATTAAGGTTTGGAATTCGATACTTAAATATATTAATTTTTAATACTAAGAAAAATAGTTCAAATTTATTTCTTCATTAATAGAAATTGTTCAATTCTGTCATCATTATTGGTCTATTTATGATTTTGCTGTTACCAAATTGTCTTGTATTTGTCCTTGTCATTATCGGAGCTCCTATGTAAAATGAGTGGATTTCATGAGTCCTAATATTTGCAAAATCATGTCCAAAATGTAGTTACTTTAGATAATGGTTTAAATTATTTGTTGGAGCTTTGTTAAGAGAATGGTAAAAAGTGGCTTCTTTTTTTTTTTTGCAAAAATATTTCATCAAAAATTTAAGTTGATTAATTAATCTCAAATAGAAGAGCGACAGATCTTAAACACTTGCATTTTAATAATGTTAAGATTCAGATCAACTAGTGCATAGTTAGATTGATCTGATATTTATAATCAAAATATTTTATAGACTAACAACAAAAGGCACAATAAGTATTCAACACTAAGCATGAATACTACAAAGATGGTAGAGAATCACTAGCGTAGCCACATAGAGTCATCGGAAAATTAAACTGAATATATATAAAATTATACTGTATATATAAGCCAAAAATTATTTCTTATAGATATATATTAGACCTTGAACATCCTTTTTAAAATTTGTGGTTTCGCCATTGTAGAGGATGATGAAGACTAAATAGGAATTAGAAATGTTTCTCCTAGATGAATAAATGTGAGAATTCACGTTCTTTAATTGTAAATGTTCAACAATTTAATATAAGCATAACCAATGATTTTACAATTCATGATTTTCTCACAAAAAATGATAATTTCAGACCTCCCGCCATGCTTAATTTTCATTGATAATATTAAGGAAAATAGATAAATTCCTTTTATGTTGTATTAATCCCTTGTGTACAGGGATTTGACTATTTCCTTTTCTATTGTAATAATCCTTTGATTATAGGGATTTGATTTCATTTATTCTTGGCAAGTCATATGTCATAATCTATATATATTTGCCAATATCAATCAAAGGAATAGTGAGCCAATTACTATCAATTGTTAATCTCTTTATGGTATTAGAGCCTCCAATGGTTTAAACACCATTTTTTCGATCCTAACCATGGCCCCTCAATCATCTTCTTCCTCCTCTTTCTCTTCTTCCTCTCTAATGCCTTTGCCCCTTCCTTCAGTTCATAATCAAGTAACAATCAAGCTCACGTCCTCCAATTATCTTCTCTAGAAAACACAAATCATTCCATTTCTTTGTGGGCAGCAATTGATTCACCACATTGATGGTTCCAAGTCTGCTCCTCCTAAAGAAATTAACAATACTCTAGATACAGAATACACGGACTGATACATCAATGACCAAATTATGTTAAGTTGGATCTTAAGTTCCCTCTCTGAATTAGTTCTCTCCCAGGTTGTTGGTGTAACCACCGCCTATGCTGCTTGGTCTCGTCTATAGACCACTTATGCTTCAGGTTCTAGAGCACAAGTTCACACTCTAAAAAATGCTCTTTATGCCTTGTCTCGGGATAATGACTCCATTGAAACCTACAAAGATCGTGCCAAGTGACTATTTGATCAACTTGTTGCACTTAATGCTACCATCATTGAGGATGATCTTATTGATAATATCTTGCGTGTCTTGGCCCAGACTACAAATCATTCACACGTAATATTGAATCAAGGTTAACTCCTATTTTTTTTTATGATCTATTTGGCTTACTACTTTCTGAATAAATGCAGCTTAAGAGTTCAAATGCCTCTCTTAATCCTCCTGCCATTGTGCACTACAATGCTCGCCAAAACACTAGTGGTAGCGCACGAGGTAGGGAACGCGACAATAAACGTGGAGGCTATCAATCCAATTCTGGTCATGGATGTGCATCTCACAACAATACTGAGCCTTTCACGCCCACCTGCTATAATTGTCAGGGTTGAGGACATACCTCAAGACAATGTCCAAGTCCAAAATACAACAATCACAACGATTTTAACCCTAAACCAGCATCCAACTACACTTCATCTCCTACTTCACCCACCAACCGTGGATCGTTAACTCTGGAGCAACCCATCACTTGACTTCTGAATTGGAGAACCTTGGCATTTACTCTGAATACTCTGGCACTGACGAAGTGGCTCTCACTGTTGAAATGTCAAAATTTCAGATTCCCACATCGGTGGGTTAGCAATAGTTGGGGGGATTTCC